TGGCACTGTCTGCCTCCTGATGTTGGTCCAGTGGTGTGGGAGCATTCACAGCCCCTTCCCAGATAGGCAGGGGTGTCGGACAAGGAGTAGTACAGGCTCACTTCCCACCGTTCAGCAGCTAGTTGAGTGATGGGAGGAGGGGGCAGTGCAGGACTGGTGTGGTGGCAGGCCTAAGCCGGGGATGCTGTAACCAGGGTGGCATAGCGAGTGCTGGCAGGAAGGGGAGTTGGTGTACTGGACCAGGTGGAAGGAAATAGAAAAGAGATAGAAGAAAAAAATAAGGGTAGCCAGCAGGTGGGGCAGGGTGGACCTGGGGGTCGGCAGGAACGGGGGGAAGGTGGCCTACTAGGCTAGATGGGAGGTAGAAAGTGGCGAGCCAGTGGTTCTCTAGCCAAGGCAGTGCAGCATGGCCTGGCGGGAAGGGGTAGATATGGCTTATGGGGCTAGGTGGGAGGGAGAAAGAAAAGGAAGAAAGGGAAAAAACAGGGAAAAATGGCGTGGCAGGAGCCGATGGGTGAGGCAGGGCAGACCCTGGCTGGCAGCAGGTTGGTGGCTCTCTAGCCAAGGCAGCACAGCATGGCCTGGTGGGAAGAAGTAGAGGTGCGGTAAGGGGCTAGGTGGGAGGGAAAAAGAAAAGGAGGAAAAAGAGAAAAAATGGCATAGCGGGAGCCAGCACGTGGGGGCAGTGAGGACCTAGGCTGGTGGTGGGCCAACGGCTCCCTAGCCAAGGCAGCGTAGTGTGGCCTGGTGGGAAGGGGTAGAGGTGGGAGGGGAGCTAGGTGAGAAGGAGAAAGAAAAGGAGGAAAGGGGGAAAAAATGACGTGGCAAGAGCTGGTGGGTGGGAGGGGGAAACCCAGGGTGGCAGCAAGCTGGTAGCTCTCTACCTGCAGCAGTGCAGCATGGCCTGGCAGGAAGGGGTAGAGGTGGTGTACAGGACTAGGCATGAGGGAGAAAGAAAAGGAAGAAAGGGGAAAAAATGGCACAGTTGGAGCTGGCGGATGGGAGTGGGGTGGACCTGGGGTGACAGTGGGCTGGAGGCTCTCTAGCTTTGTGGAACAGGGTGGCCTGTGGGGAAAGGGTGAGAGTGGCATATGGTGCTAGGTGGGACGGAGAAAGAAAAGGAAGAAAGGGAAATAAAAATGGCACGGCAGGAGGTGGCAAGTGGGAGTAGGGCAGACCTAGGGTAAAGGTAGCTCTATAGCTGAGCAGTGCGACATGGCCCACGGGGAAGGGGTGAGGGTGGCATACGGGGCTAGGTGAGAGAAAAAGAAAAGGAAGAAAGGGGAAAAAAAATGGCCTGGCAGGAGTCAGCGGGTGGGAGCAGGGTGAACTTGGCCTGGCCGCAGGCTAGTGGCTCTCTAGCAGGGCGGCACTGTGTGGCTTCTTGGGAAGGGGTGGAAGTGGGCATGGTGTAAGGGACAGAAGGGCAAGGGTTAAGAAAGTGTGTTTTCTGTTTACTGAGTGCTCTGTCTCCTTTTGGGAGCTCTGTGAAGTTGCCTTCCCATACTTCCTGTCTGGGGTCATTGCTGGCTGCGCTCCCAGATGGTGATGCTGTGTCGTGTTAGTTGACTGGGGACCTCCATTCTGTACCTGTCCTGGTTGTCTGTTTTCCTTTAGTTTCTTCTTCCATTCGGTGTTTGATCTAGTTCTTTATCCCTTCGTTTGATGCTTAGGGTCCCAGGATTGACGTTTGTATCATTTTACTTAGTTCTTTGGGTCTTTGCTGCAGAGGGACGGCATGTTGCATCTGTCTAGGGCACCATGTTGGCTCTGCTTCCTGGGGCAAACATTTTGAATGATCTTCAGCATAATTTTACTTGTGCATGATATTAATCAGATTGTTCAATAATTTCCACATTCCATTGGATCATCTTTCTTTGGAATGGGCACAAATATGGATCTCTTCCAGTCAGTTGGCCAGGTAGCTCTCTTCCAAATTTCTTGGCACAGATGAGTGAGCACTTCCAGTTTTGCATCCGTTTATTGAAACATCTCAGTTGGTATTCCGTCAGTTCCTGGAGCCTTGTTTTTCGCCAGTGTCTTCAAGGCAGCTTGGACTTCTTCCTTCAGTACCATTGGTTCTTGATCATATGCTATCTCCTGAAATGGCTGAACATTGACCAATTCTTTTTGGTACAGTGACTCTATGTATTCTTTCCATCTGATACTTCCTGCATCGTTCAATATTTTCCCCATAGAATCCTTCAATATTGCAACTCTAGGCTTGAATTTTTTCTTCAGTTCCCTTTTGGTTTTCTAACTCCAGGTCTTTGCACATTTCATTGTAATACTTTACTTTGTCTTCTCGAGCCACCCTTTGAAATATTCTCTTCCGCCCTTTTACCATATCATTTCATATCAGTTTGCTTTAGCTACTCGACGTTCAAGAGCAAGTTTCAGAGTCTCTTCCGACATCTATTTTGGTTTTTTCTTTCTTTCCTGTCTTTTTAATGACCTTTTACTCCCTTCATGTATGATGTTCTTGATGTCATCCCACAACTCATCTGGTCTTTGGTCATTAGTGTTCAATGCATCAAATCTATTCTTAGATGTCTCTAAATTCAGGTGGAATATACTCAAGGTTGTACTTGTGGACTTGCTTTAATTTTCTTTAGCTTCAACTTGAACTTGCATATGAGCAATTGATGATCTGTTTCAAAAACACTTGCAGAGGTACATAGACAGGGAACTGCCAGAAATTCAAGCCTGATTCAGAAGAAGATGTGGAACAAGGGATATTATTACTGATGTCAGTGGATCTTGGCTGAAAGCAGAGAATGCCAGCAAGATGTTTACCTGTGTTTTGTTGACTATGCAAAGGAATTCAACTGTGTGGATCAAAACAAATTATGGATAACACTGCTAAGAAAGGGAATTCCAGAACACTTAATTGTGCTCATGAGGAACCTGAACATAAACTAAGAGGCAGTTGTTCAAACAGAACAAGGGGATACTGCGTGGTTTAAAATCAGGAAAGGTGTCACCAAGGTTGTATTCTTTCACCATACTTATTCAATCTGCATGCTGAGCAAATAATCCAAGAAGCTGGACTCTATGAAGAAGAACATGGTATCAGGATTGGAGGAAGACTCATTAACAGCCTGCATTATGCAGATGCCACAACCTTGCTTGCTGAAAAGGAAGAGGATTTGAAGCACTTACTGATGAAGATCGAAGACCACAGCCTTCAGTACGGATTACACCTCAACATAAAGAAAACAAAAATCCTCACAACTGGACCACGAAGCAACATCTTGATAAACGGAGAAAATACTGAAGTTGTCAAGGATTTCATTTTACTTGGATCCATAATCAACACCCATGGAAGCAGCAGTCAAGAAATCAAGTGATGCATTGCATTGGGCAAATCTGCTGCAAAAGATCTATTTAAAGTGTTAAAAAGCAAAGATGTCACTTTAAGGGCTAAGGTGAGCCTGACCCAAGCCATGGTGTTTTCAATCACCACATATGCATGTGAAAGCTGGACAGTGAATAAGGAAGACCAAAGAAGAATTGATGCCTTTGAATTATGGTGTTGGTGAAGAATATTGAATATCCCACAGACTTCCAGAGGAACAAACAAATCCATCTTGGAAGAAGCACAGCCAGAATGCTCCTTAGAAGCAAGGATGGCGAGACTTCGTCTCACATACTTGGGACATGTTATCAGCAGGGATCAGTCTCTGGAGAAGGACATCATGCTTGGTAAAGTAGAGGGTCAGTGAAAGAGAGGAAGACCCTCAACGAGATGGACTGACACAGTGGCTGCAACAATGGCTCAAACATAGTAGTGATTGCAAGGATGGCGCGGGACCAAGCAGAGTTTCCTTCTGTTGCACATACAGTCGCTATGAATCGGAGCCCACTCAACGGCACCTAACAACAACAACAAAATGGGGCAGGCTACACTACTCATCTACCACCCGTCTGTCAGTCTGTCCTACTGTGGTGGCTTGCATGTTGCTATGATGCCGGAAGCTATGCCACCAGTATTTCCAATACCAGCAGGGTCACCTATGGTGGACAGGTTTTAGTGAAGCTTCCAGACTAAGGCAGACTAGGAAGAAAGGCCTGGTGATCTACTTCTAAAAACTAGCCTGTGTAAACCCTACGGATCACAACAGAATATTGTTGCATATAGTGTTGGAAGATGGTACTATAGGTTGGAAGGCACTCAGAATACACAGTGGTCGCAACCATGACCTCAAGCATAGCAATTATCATGGTGATGTCTCCTTCTGTTGTGTGTGGGATCGCCATGAGTTGGAGCCAACTTGATGGCAACTAGCAACAACAAATAGTACTCACGTCAGTGGGGTCCTTATGATTATTATTACAAGTCCCTGGTTACACACTCAAGCACTAGCCAGATGTTGGAGGTTCAAACTTACCTAGAGGTGCCTCGGAAGAAAGTCCTGGTTATCTGCTCCCAAAATGTCACACCCACTGAAAACCGTATGGAGAGCTGTTCCACTCTGATACACATGGGGTTGCCATGCATAGGGGTTGACTCAACAGCAACTGGTTGAAAGGTTGGAGGTCCTAGTCCACCCAGAGGCACCTCAGAAGAAAGGCCTGGCAATCTACTTCTGAAAAAATCAGTTATTGAAATCCCTGTGGAGCACAGTTCTACTCAGACACACATGGACCAGCATGAGTCAGAGTCGACTCCATGGCAACTAACAACAGCATTATTATTATTATTATTCTAAAAACAGTCCTCCCAACTTCCAGGTGGCCAGGATGGGCGGCTGCCTCTCCACCCGCCCCTGGCCTGCCCAGACCGTGCCAGCCCCATGGTTTACGCCCAGGGCCACCACCGCCATGGCACAGCCAGGCTGCTCTAGTACAACTGCGGAGCAGCCCAGCAGGTTTTTCTTCTCGCCTGCCGCAGGGCACCGAGCTGGCCTCTCCCTGCATGCCTCCCTGGGCCCGGCGCTCCCAGACTTACCTGCTCCTCTCTGCCAGACGCAGCCAGCAGGCAGCAGGCGCTGGCCAGGATGCCCAGCATCTTCGCCTACCAGAGCTCCGAGGTGGACTGGTGTGAAATCAACTTCCTGCACTCGGAGCTGGTGGCCGAGTTCTACAACACGGTGAGGAGCGCGGCCGGACAGCCAGACACACAGGAGGGCTGGGGACAGAGGAGTGTCACCAGCCGGGGTTCAAACCCTGGCTCCTCCACGTCCTCACTGGGGAATCTCGCTCCAGCGGTTCGCCTCTCTGAACCTCAGTTTTCTCGTGTCTTAAGCCGGGGGTGCTGGCATTCATCCACGGATGGGCTCATGCAGCCACGTCTTTCTCAGGCAGCTGCGGTAGGTTTTGGAAACATTGCAGCAACTACAAAAGAGCTGGTCTCTGCCCAGCATAGGCTCACAATGCAGATGGCGAACAGACGTGACTGCAGGTGGGTAGGCAGGGAAGGATTCCTGGCAGAGGTGACTGTCTGATATGTTCCTGGCTGTCTCCCCGACTCAGGGGGACCAACGCATCCCGGTTTGCCTGGGACTGTCCTGCTTTAGCACTGAAAGTCGCCTGTCCCGGGAAAGCCCTTGGTTCCGAGCATACCGAGGCTGTCGATCACCCTCCCCAGCCCCTGGTACGAGGCCACGTTGAAGTGCCCAAAAACTCGCGGACGCAGAAACGGCCGTGGCATTTAAGCAAGGCTTGAAAGATATAGGCGGCAGAGGTATACGCAGCTGTCCTGTCTCTGTATGGCGTGCTGGGTACACAGCGATGACCGAGACAGGGTGCTTGCCTTCTGAAACTTTCTGCAGGCTACGTGCTTCCTTAGCTGTGCGCCCTGCGCAGAGAAAAGGGATATAAACAGCATCCTCAATAAACAGCGAGCAAAACAATCATGAGGGCAGTGGAGATTCAGTGTTAGAACTCTCGCCTTTCATGCAGGAGACCCAGGTTCAATCCCCAGTCAATGCACCTCATGCATAGCCACCACCCATCTGTCCGTGGAGGCTTGTGTTTTGCTATAATGTTAAACAGGTTTCAGCAGAACTTCAGGCTAAGACAGACTAAGAAGAAAGGCCTGGCAACCCACTTTTGAAAATCAGCCGAGGAAAAAACCCATGGGCCACAACGGTCTGATCATGGGGATGATGCGGGACTGGGCATCATTCCATGGTGCGTGGATCACCATGAGTTGGGGCTGATTGAGGGCAGCTAACAGCAATGACAACGCAGCAATCATATGAATAAGGGCCTTTATAGAGCGCCTACTGTATCCAGGTGCTGCACTGAGCGATTTGCATGAAAGCTCTTACGTAGTCTTCACAATGGCATTGGGGTCAGGAGTGATATCACACTATGTAGAGTTAACTCCATTTTCCAGATGAGGAAAGAGGTGCTGAGGCAGGTTGGACGATATGCCCAGGGTTACCTGGCAGGTAGAGCCAGGATTTGAACTTGAGCGGTTCCAGAAGATTTTTGGGGGTGAGTGGGTGAGAGACTCAGTCCCAGGACATCCAAGTTGTTCTGACCCTGTTCCCTTTGAACTTGTGGCTTCCCTGAGCTGGGAGGCAAGAGTCTGGCTCCTCTGTTCAGAGATTCTCATCCATTTTGGTTTTTCCTCTGTCTTCCCACCTGTAAAATGGGAGGGGGCTGGATGAGCTAACTCCCAGAGACTGAGAAGTGGGGTTGGGGTTCTGGAATCCTCTTCTCTGGATTCCCGGGCAGCTTAGAATGTTCTCTGCTCAGTCCACCTCCAAGTGGGGGCCCCCACAGAGGGTACCGAGAGGGGCTGGCTCTGGTGTGGGCTGGGGGTGTATCTGTGTGTTCTGGGGCAGAATCCCACCCCACGCCAGCCTCCTTTAGCCTGTGAAGTAAATCGAGCAGTCTGTAGGCACTCTCTCAGCCACAGATTTCCAACCTTTCTGGCCGTGGTATAGTATATTAGGAAAGAGATTTTACTTCATCATCACCAAGTACCTGTGTTCCCAGATACTTACCAAATGGAAGCAGAAGTTTCACAAAACAATACTTACCTTTCCCCAGTGTGAACTCACTTGGATATTTTCTCTTCTGTTCTAGCAAAAAGGTTCTGACAAAAGGGGGCGAGGCTTTCGGGTCCCAGAATCTACCCAAGGATTGCGGCTTACATGTGGCTGTCGAAGTGACTCGGACTCCTGGCGACCCCGTGTGTGTCAGAGTAGAACTGTGGCCCCATAGGGTTTTCAATAGCTGGCTTTTCAGCTGTAGATTGCCAGGCCTTTCTTCCGAGGCACCTCTGGGTAGATTTGAACCTCCAATCTTTCGGTTAGTAAGCAGAAGAGTTCATTCACCATTTACACCACCCAGGGACTCTCAGATTTATGTATAAAAGGGTTTCCTGGAGACTTTCCTTTCCAAAATGCTTCTGATTATTTTAGACTCATTACCATAGGTAATAAATCATATAGATTAGGGGGTCAGCAAACTTTATCCATAAAGAACCTGTTAATCAATATTTTCGGCTTTGGAACCATATCGTCTCTGTCGAGACTACTCAACTCTTGTTAGCTGCCACCCTGCTGTTAGCTGCTGTCCAGGCAGCCCCCAACTCATGGCGACCCTATAGACTATAAATGAGTGGGGCAGCAGTGCGCCAATAAAACTTTATTTATAGACACTGAAATGTGAATTTCATATAATTTTCACGTGTCACAAAATACTATTCTTCTTGTAAATTTTTTAACCATTTAAAAATATAAAAATTATTCTTAGCCTTTGGGCCATACAGAAACTGGTGGTGGGCTGGACTGGGCCCATGGGCTGTACTTTCCCAGGCCCTGTTATAGTTACATGGACTCCCTGTGTGGTACAAATGGTTAACATGCTCGGCTGCTAACGAAAGGATTGGAGATTCGAGACCACACAAAATCACTTCGGAAGAAAGGCCTGGTGATTTACTTCCATCAGCCAGTGAAAACCCTATGGAGCACAGTTCAGCTCTGACACACATGGGGTCGCCATGAGTCAGCATCAACTTGACAGCAACGATTTTTTTAAAAAATAATTTATTTTTGCTGTTGAGGATGGCAACTTTTTAAAAAAACTTTAAAAATATATATATAGTTGCATATTAAACAATTCAAATCAGAAACAAAAAGTTTTTTGTCCTTTTAAATCAGTAATTAAAAATAAGTTTATTTTGTAGGGAATTTAGACACACCTACATAATGCTGGTGGAAGGGTAAAAAGTACAGGCTTTCTGTGGGCAGTTTGGAATCTTGTTTCAAGAGATGCGTTTCCAAATGACCCACCCTGGGCTCAGTCACTGCGCTTCTAGGAATTTTTACCAAAGAGATAATCCCCATAAGTCACAAGATTTGTATACAAAGTTGTCACTGACTCATTTGAAATTGCGTAACTAATAAATGAATAAAATAGGAACATTTTACTAACATTTCCACCAATATGTGCAGGTTGCTACATTCTGGAAAAATGCTATATGTAACTATTTACAAGCATATTTTACAAAAGGACACATATTGTATGATCCCACTTATCTGAGATACCTGGGATAGACAAAGCCATAAAGATCAAAGTTGATCAGTGGTTGCCAGGGGCAGGAGGGCCGTGGTGGGTCAGTGGTAGAATGCTCGCCTTCCACGTGGGAGACCATTTCCATTCCCAGCTGCTCCACCTCATGCGCGGCCACCACCCGTCTCTCAGTGGAAGCATGAGTGTTGCTAGGATGCTGACTAGGTTTCGGCAGAGCTTCCAGACTAAGATGAGGAGGCCTGGTGGCACAGTGGTTAAGTGTTCGGCTGCTAACCAAAAAAAGGTTGGCAGTTCAAATCCACCAGCCGCTCCTTGGAGGCTCTGTGGGGTGGGGGGCATGGGGGGGCAGTTCTACTCTGTCCTGTAGGGTCGCTATGAGTTGAGTCAATGGCAACAGTTTTTCTAGACTAAGACTAGGAAGAAAGGCCTGGCAATCCACTTCTGAAAACCAACCCATGAAAACTCCTTGGATCATAATGGTCCTATCCGTAACTGATCATGGGGATAGTGCAGAACCAGGCAATCTTTCATTCCAATGTGCCTGGGATCACCATGAGTCGGGGCCGACTTGATGACCGCTAACAACACCACCACCCGGGACAGGAGGGAGAGGGAATGGGGAGCCGTTGCTTAGGGCACACCGAGTTTCTGTTAAGGGTGATAGAAAAGTTCATAAATGGACAGCAATGATGGTTGCACAATAGGATGAAAGTAATTAATGTTACTGAATTCTATGCATAAAACAGATCGAAATGGTAAATACGTTGTTATAAGTCTTTTTACCACAATTAAAAAGAAAAAGAAACGGAGGTGAGGTGGTCCCTGACCTGTGACTGGTAAGGAGTCTCCTTCTTTCCTGCATGATAGTTCCTATAAAAGGTTCAGCCTCTTTAAAAAAAAAAAAAAAAAAGGATTTAAAAAAAAAATCTAGGTATGGAAATTAGAGACAAGGGATATGGTAGAAAAATTAAAAAAAAAAATCTGTTCACATTGATTTCATCATAATTCACAGTTGGAAAACCCTGCTCTGAAGAATCTTTGTTTTCTTGGTGTTCTGCTTGTAAGGAGCTCTGGGTCTGGGCTGCGGAGACAGAGCCGTGCGTGCTCAGGGCTGAGACTAGGAAGGAAACACGAGACAAGTCAGCCCAGATATTAGGAGGCTTCCTGGGGGAGGGCACCTAGAAGTTGGGTTTTGAAAGATGAAGGAGTTCGCCAAGTGGGATAAGAGTGGGGGAAAGGAGAACAGAAGAGAAAACAAGATGAATTAAAGCATGGAAAGAAAAGAGGGGCTGGCCAGTTTGGGGAGGGGAAAGTGTGTTCCTGTGGCTAGAATGTAAGACAAGGTAAAGGTGAGTAAGTCTTGGATGCTGAATTAGAGTGTTTGAAATTTATCCTGTGTTCTTTGATGGACTCACTCGTTCATTCCACAAAACTGCTGTAACCCAACCTGTGCTGGGTGATGCTGGGGCCCCAGAGAGGCTCAGAGCTCCCAGGCTGTGTGTGTGTGTAGGGGGCGGGGGATGAGAATCAGAAACAGATTCCTCCAGCCCCAGTGGTTAGTGTGGGGCTGAGCAAGGAACAAGGGACCAGAAGGGGGTGG